TCGTTGACATGGTTGACGAATGCCTCGCTCCATCGTATGCATGAGGAAGCTTTTGTTTAGGTGTATGGAGATCCAACCTGATTAAAGGCTTTTCCTTGAGCATTTTATATTGCCTGTTGTGACTTGTGAATGTTTCTTTTAGACCTTTGGGTTCTTGTAATTCAATTATTAATTTCATAGTTACATTTGAGCTAACTTCACTTTCACGCCTCTTATGAAAACAATATTTTCTCCGTGAACTTTTACTTGTCCACTGTTCATTATTACTGTCTAGTTTAGAGAATCAAGAGATAATCTATTAGAGTATTTTATTTCTAATTTACCCTTTATTAATATAATCATTTTTCAAAAACTCTTAATTTATTATATTTTGATATAATAAAACTTTCATTGTCATTCTATTTATTGTTCCTTAAGGAATGTGTGAAGTTAATACTAAAAAGATAAAATTAACGGAGGGAACGTTAATTGAGAGATATTACTTTTAACCATTTTATCCCGTTAGAGTCTTGATATATTAATTTTTTTTCATAAAATATTTATTCTACTGAGGTGTTTATAGTCTTCAAGAAAAATTATTTAAGGATAAAATTAAATAAATTTTTTTTTGACTTTTTATAATGAGAAAAATAATTTGAGGTGATGATTTTAAACGAAACAATTGATTTTATAATGAAGCAAAAAAAGTGAGTTCCTAAGTAAGGGTAAAAATAAATTGTTAGGAAGTGTTCAAAATAGGCTACTATTTTAGGAAGTAACTAAAATAGATTTAGTGGAAGAAAAAACTCCACTTTATTCAATATTCTAAACATTTTTAGCTATTCTCATAACATATATATTTTAATATAGAACGGAACTATTTATTACACTTTATAACGTGCAAGTTATTCTAACATTTTGTAAAGTGAAACTTTTTCTTACACTTTATAAAGTGGAAAAAAAATTATGTTTTACAAAGAGAAATATAGATTTTACATAAGTTTCAACCGATAAAATAGAACGTTCTTGACAAGTCTTAGGCTCCTTTCTAACATAAATTTCAAGTATTATTAAATTGATTTGATTTCTTTAATAATTTGGAACTTGTACTTGTGATAAAAATGAAGTAGGTATTTTTCGACTATAATAAAATTACAGTTAGTACTATTTATACACATTCTTTTGTAAATTAATGAAAGAAATTTATGATATCGGACATTAATTGAATATTTAGCATTGTGTTTGAGAGGACAATTATAATAAGGGTCAAAAATACCCCTTGACTTTAGTTTATCAGTTGACTATACCCCTACCGTTAAAACAAACTTATATTTACCCCTGTCGTAACCAATTTCATCATTTGTACCCCTTCATCAACGAAAATTCTCAAATTGACTCAAATTAACCCAAATTTTTAAAAATGACCCATTTCTCATTTTGAATCCAAAGCCGCGACAACTAGTTCAAACAATCACCACTTTCCTCTCTTCCTCCCACAAATCGCTACCCAAATCGTCTCTCCAATCCTACCTTCCTTACCTCACTCAACTCCGACTCCGACATTCTTCGTCGGCCTACACATTGCCACTGGATATCACTCGCTGTCAATGAGAATTGTTTTTTACTTTAACGTTTTGCCTTTAGTTATTTTGGTTAATTTGTTTTTCTTGTTGTTTTTAAGTTGTTTTTGTTTCCATTTTCTCTTTGCAGAAATGGTGGAAGTTGAAAGCTAAATCCCATTTTGAACTTTTTTTTTAAAAAAAAAGTTGAAATCTTGTTCTTATTCTGAATTTATATCAAAGTAAAAAAATTGAATCAACAAGCTGATGAATTCACAAGAATATATGTTGTTGGAAGTGTGAAGTTCTTATGGAGTAAAGATATAAAAATATTTTTTTTATTCAAGGAGGGAGAAGACGAAGAAAAATTGATTTTTGGATTTAATTTGTCATGAGTTCTGTTTTATGGGTTGGATTCGAATTTGGGTCAAAAAACAAAATCGGGTAATTTCAATTGAAATTGGATACATTTGAGTAAATTTGCAAATTTCCATCAAATTAAAGGGTACAAATGATGAAATAAATAACGACAGGGGTAAATATAACTTTGTTTAAAAAATATGGATATAGTCAACTGATAAATTAAAGTCGAAGAGTATTTTTAACTCTTTTCCCAATAATAAACGATATTTCCTTCTATGTATAATTTTATCATCCCAATAAATCATAAACTCTAACTTTGGGGGGTAGAAGACATTTTCTTTTGGAAGATTTTAATTAGTAATAGTTTTGGATTTATTTCTTTGTTCCTCATAATCACAATATCTCTCATTTAATTAATAATAGTTTTGGATTTGGATTCTAACTCTCTAACTATCTCTTTACTTTATCGTCTATTTGCTTGACATTATTTTTTGTTAATTTTAGGATAAAAAAAGATTCAAATTCCCCGCAAGACGCCTTTATGTTTTAATTATTTTAAACTAAATTGATCGCGACTTAAAAAATGATAACGAAAAAATTTTGCGAGTTAAATAAAACACTTAGCTAGTAAATTAATTCTTCACTTTCAAACAAACTCTAAATAATTTTTTATCTCAAAATTAAGTTAAATATTTTAGCCAAACAAGTTCGTTGATAGATAACCGCAAGTTAGTGGATATTTTAGGTGCCGTAAAAACCTTCCTAAAATATTAATAAGAGCGTCCGAACCTCTCTTTAAAGATTTTTCAAATGATACTGTTTAAGTCTGTTTTCTTGATTTTCCTAAAATTAAGTGACGACTCTAAACAAGTCTACAATAACAATATAAAAATATTTTTCTGTAAATAAAAACATAACAAATTAACTACTAGTGATAATAAATTTAAATTAATACTTTTTTTAATTTTAATATTTAATATAAGTCAGAATAAGTAAAAGGTCTATTTATATACTTTACAGAAGAGTTACCAATGAAATCAAATTAATACAATTTAAGAATCATATTGGTATTCAAATTGCTACAATTTAGGGAGAAGTTAAAGAAAATGATTTAACTAAGACATCGGGTTTCACACCGGTATGTTTTTATAAAAATATACAATTAAGTATATATTCTCATCTCAAACCTCTCTCCATAATCTTCTTCAAAAAGATTTCATAACCATCTTTGTTGTCATGTTTATAGAATCCGATAATAATCGTGTGATATGATTTTAATTTTTAATCTCATTCTTAAATATTTGTGTAATTTTTTTGATTAAAGCAAAATCATAGGTTGAGTGATCAATCAACCTTTGATTTGATCACACAAAAATATTAAGTCTTTAGTTTTTTTCTTTTATAAAATATAAAGTTTTTCAGTTTGACATAATAATATTAAAATATATACGGTAGATAATTTAAGTTATGAGTAAGATGTTATTTATAATGTATCACCTTGGACCTTGTAAATTTTTTTTTTTGAATTTAAAGATTTGATTAGTTTAATTTAATGTTTTAAAATATTTATATTATTGAAAACTAACTAATAATTCTTTCTCTCTCTCTCTTTTTTTATATAAAATATCGAGAGATTTTCCATTTCATTTATTAACTTTAAAAGTGTCTAATAAAAGTTTTTAAAGAAACCCATAAGATTCATTTTTTCAAATATTGTGACCTTATAATTGCAAGAAATAGAATTTGAGCAAACAACACAAATTTTATTAGTTTGGATCTTAATTACGTGCGCTCATATTAGTTTAGAAAATTACCTTCCTTATCACTTTTTCTTCACCAAATACATGTATTTGGCGCAATCAGATGATACATGCAGGTTATTAAATATAATTTGTTATAAATACATTGTATTCAAGCGTGATTTACATGCATCAGAGACGTACTGACTCTCTCGCTAACCTTTCTCCTATCTCCCTTGCCCCTCTCTTCTTTTGTTCATCTCTCCGTCTCTCGCTTGCCTCATATGTATTTGTATTTCAAATTGTATCTAGTATAAAAAATATAGGAAAAAGGGTCTGATATACCCCTCAACTTTGTCATTTAGAGCTGATATACCCCTTGTTATGAAAGTGGCTCATATATATCCCTACTTGTAAACAAATGACTCACATATACCCTTTTTCTCTAACGGAAATAGAAAAAAACTAATTTTAATCTAAATTTTTATTATTTTTTTCTAAAAAATATAATCCCATATGAGTAAATTTAATCCTCGTCAAACATATCTTTTTTGACTTTTTTTTATTTCAATGACTTATTTATAATTATTATTTTGATAATCAAATTTATTCATGTTTCACTAATATTCTTGTAAAACTTATTGTAGATGACCAAATTTTTTTTTTTTTCGAATACGAAATTAAATTACAATACACACAAAAAAATAGTTTAAATTTTTTTTCTTTAAACCAAGAAATGAAAGAAAAAAACAAAATAAGAATAAGAAACTTAAATAATTATAATAAAAGAAGTCAAAAAATAATTTATGTATGAAAAAAATTAAAATATACCTTGAACTTTGATAGAAGAATCATATATACCCCTAAATAAATTTTTTTAAAAAAATTAGAAGTAATAAATTTAAATTTAAAATTAATTTTTTAATTTCCGTTAAATGAAGGATATATGTGAGCCATTTTGTAACGGCAGGGATATATGTGAGCCGTTTGTATAACGATAAGGGCATATATGAGCCACTTTTATAACGAGGGATATATCAGTTCCATATGACAAAGTTGAAGGGTATATCAGACCCTTTTCCCAAATATATATATATATATATAGTATCAAAGATACATGTTGAACTCTCACTTGCTTCTCTACCATCTTGCTCGCTCGTCTCTCTCCTATGTCGCTCATAGTAATATACTTATTCTTTCTGGCATAACCTTTATCGCCAGTAACATCGAGGGCATATTTGATCCCCACCATTTACCAGAGGATAAATTTGTTTCATTTCACACAGTGAGGAACAAATTTATCTGTTCATATATAGCCTTTCATCAGTCTATATATCATCTGTTCATTTAGGCAAATTAGTCAAGTAAGAACTCAATGTTCATTCTACCTGGAATTAAAATAGTCCAGTAAGGTATCTGTATCATAACATGAAACCATTTTATCTCCAGTTTCACTCCATAAAGCAATTCATACGTGCTCGTAGATACGAACTTTCTCCATCATCGTACACAAAAAAAATATAGTCCACCAAGGTGGTTTACACAGAAAATTTGACACCTTCATCATCAGCTGATGTTCCCTTAAATATTGCAAGCTTTCCTTTATGTTCCAGCACCTTCAAAGCTCGCATAAGAACTGTACGGTCTATTCCATGAAGCTCTGAAAAATCAAAATGCCAAAGACAAAGAAGAACATAATAGCATAAGATTCCATAAGTCCATGAAGGTTGTCAGAGGATAAATCGTAGTTAAACCATGTAAGCGAGTTCATTACTAAACATCAAATACATACAGAATAGACAGATGTTAAACGTAAAATGTTTGATCCACTGATATTTCTAGTACATGTTTATGATCAAGTAGTTCAAGATTGAAATAAGCACATGATCATATTAGAAAAGGAAAAATTGAAAGCGTAAACTCTTTTAGTGAAAATACGCTTCGTGCATAGTAGGGAAAGTGAACTGCCAAGACCTAAGCTAATATATGCAAAACTATTTGCAGAAAGAAGAAAAGAATAACCAATATTTTTTTGAAAAAGAGAAAACAATATTGGTTATACTTTGATCTTCTTTCTTTAAATATTTTGCATATGTTAGCTTCGGCCTTTAACTATTAGTGGTATCTAATATCTTGTAGATTCTAAAACCGAAATTTTACCTGTTCCACGGGACTCCACCCCAGAACGTATTTCTTCAACTGTCATAACACTGTCTTCCAGCCCATTCTCCTTCACCTAATCAGACAGATAAAACTGGCATAAGGAATTTGACAAGGCTCGGTAATGGAGCAGATTGCCAACACAAAAACAATGTGACAAGGTTGAATATACTCCTGTTCATCATTTCATTCGAAAGAAAACCCGATACCTGCATCCATCCCAAATATGGTAATATAGCAGTCTTCCAACAGGGAACCTAATTGCTTAACATTAAAATTGCATTTTTTATAGGATGACACCCCATAAGAAATTCGACTCAAATGACCAAACTGAGAGAGATTTCAGATAAATTTAAGAAGAACAAGAAAGCAGGAAAGTGGAAGCTACGCAGAAGAAGGGAAAAGGGGTCACTGATGACTGATGATAAACACGATCTTGCAGCGCCACCTTTTATAATGGATAACCCATAGAGATGAAAAATGGTTCTATACTACTCACAAAGTTTACAATCAAGTCTGCCCAGTCTTGAATACGATGCCATAGAACTAGGCATTTTCTATGACCTTTATCCATCCATTCTGCACGACCTGTCAAGTAGATCAGAGTCAGAGATCTATCCTTCTACAGTACAACAGACTCTCAGTAAGGTCCTATACATTATTCACGTGGCAAGATCACTTACCATCAGAAACCAAAGCCGAGAGAAATGCCTCCCTAGCTTCATGACTCAGAGATCCTGCACTATCAAAGATCATCTGTATTCAGTTGTGGCACACAAATATTGCCACCATTCCAGATTATAAAAGATTTTCATCCAGTCCGAGGCATGCTATACCACATAAAGAGATAATCACATTTTCTTTTAGCTAAAAAAGCAAGGATTTTGCATTTTCCTAATAGAAATCAACCAGTACCGGCAAGCTTTACCACCTAATGCTATTGTGATTGAAATTTCTTTTGTCTATGAACAGACATGCATACTTAATGGCATAGAAAAACTAAAGGATCTCTTCAGTAACCTTGTGCTCCAGAGGAATAAGTATTACAAGTCACGCCGTTCAACTTTAGAATCACATAAATTTAAACAGTTTGATCATTTATATGAATTTCTTACTTCCCTAGGTAACATTTGCAGAGGAAAAGAAATTCATTGGACGCAACGTGCATGTGGTTTAAAGACAATTTTTTGTTGCCAGATAAGCTAACGTGAATTATTCCATGGCATGCTACTATAATATAATTTCATACTATTTTGGTAAGTGGTAACATAGCAGAAATTTTCTCAATGGATCTGAAACTTTTAAAACATTTTACATTCTATTGTAATGATATTTACATTTTGCTCTTTCTCTGTTTTGCAGCTGTTTCTTATTAATTTCCCCCTAACCGTCCCACTTCCTTGGAAATTAGATGGGTAACCTACCGATTCACATGTAATTAATCCATTTTCTTTCCTGGTTGTAGGATAATCTTTGTATCATTGGTTATTTTCAACAACAAACTGAGAAAATCAGCATGAACATATTTTATGCTCCTTTCATGCTGGGACTAGATCATCTCAGTTCAAATGTGCATGCATGCATGAGAACATCTATTTTGTTTCTGCTTCCTTGCTTAATGTCACGTGCATATTCGTTTTGACAATCTTGTAAGAATCCAGAGGGTGATAGTTACTTCTTCAAATTTAAATGAAACTCATTTCGCTTCGGGACATCCCAGAATGTGGACACCATTTCATTTCTATACAATTTTCAAGACCTTTAAAGAATTCAAATTCACAACATATGCATTTTATAGCTCTGTTATATTTTCCCATAAGAAATCATAACTATTTTAACTCTTACTTCAATATTTTCTTCCATTATCACTATTATAATGTACACTTTTTGAACAGATTATCACTACTATAATACAAGTCAAATTAACATCTTAAATTTCACATGAGCTGGAATACAGGCGTTACTATTTTGAGTTCCTCTGGCATTCAAGATCACTAGCTGTTGTTGTAAATTTAACCCACCCTACTGGATTTTTACCCAAAGCAATAATTTGGGGAATATATATAAAGCAGCTCCTTGGCAGAAAATCAAATATATAAAACACTAATAAGAAGAAGCACTCACTTTCAATAGCAGCATTACTGAACAATGGAAAGTCTACCTCCAGCGCAATTACAAAGATCTTTTGGGTTCGACAGAAATCAATTATGAGCTCTTTCCATAGTTGTATCTGCTTCTCCCTAGTTTCCCTCACAGGCTGCAAACTGGGGAAGTAAATAAATTATCATAAAACTAGAAACAACTTCCTGTTACAAATTAAAAGGAAAAAGTGTTTCATCCGCCCAATAAAAGACTGGATGGAGATGAATGGAACAGGTACAAGAAGTACTTGGTGATTACTTGATAACATACATTAGCTTACCAGGAATGCATACGGACAACTGCTTCTAGGTACTTTCCAGTTATAATATACACAATCAGAAAGCAATCCAAACCAGTGTTACAAAAGACGAGCGCCTCCTCGCCTTTGGCGAGAGGCGAGGCGATGGGTCCTCGCCATTCTCTGCCGAGGCGAGGCGATAGCAAAATGGCGAGGAGTGGCGAGGTGTGGCGCTACAATGGCAACAGAAAAGGCGCCGCCTTTTTAATTAAAAATATTTGACTTAACAATATTAATCAAAATTAGGGTTTTTTTTAATACTTTTGAAATTTCTGCTTTCTCCATCGCGACTCTCGCTCTCGATTGACTCTCTTCTCGGCTCTCTTCTCCAGTTCTCTTCTCTTCTCCATCGCTGTCTCTTCTCCCTCGCTCTCTTCTCTTCTCCATCGCTGTCGGCTTCTCCATCGCGAGACTCTCTCCAGTTCTTTCTCGCAAAGGAGTAGAAAGTACATCTACAAGTTCATCTTCAAGTAGGAATCGGACACTGATTGATGAAGAATACGAGGAGGAAGAAAATGAAGAGCAATATAATGATGTAGAGGATTTTGATCTTCAAGAGTTTGATAATTTTGAAGAAGAATAGACTTTTAAAGTTTTGGTTTATTGTATTTTGAATTGTTTGGTCTTTAAAGTTTTAGACATTTTAGTATCTACTATTGGTTTTTGAATTGAATATTTGCTAATATGTGTTATTGCTATTAAGATTTTGAATAAAATATGCAATTAAATATTTTTAATTTTTGGTATTAATTGACGCCTTTATTCAAAAAGGCAAGCGCCTCGCCGCGTGGCGAGGCTGGCCCTTGTCGCCTTTTGTCGCCTCTCGCCGTCCACAACACTGATCCAAACTAAATTTCTGCAGGTACATCTAACTGATTTTGACATCCGAATAATGAGACTGCCTCCATGCCCTGATTAGAACCTTTCTCTAGGAATCATTCTATTTACATTCTCCTTATTAGCAAATACATCCATCCATCATGTACCCATAACAAATTTAGTCCTAAAGCAGGATGGATAGACTCATATAGCTAAACTCCACTGATGTGGGAAATTGGGATTGAGGCCTAGTTGATTGATAGCTACTGCTGTCAAAATGCAGGTTCACCACAACGTCCAAGAAAAGGTTTTCCATATATTTTGACCAGACAAGTGAAAATACTAAATCCAGAAACTGCAATTTATAGCCAAGATTTAATACATATAGAGACATGGAAATAAGGGGCAGGAGCAAATTACGTGAAGTAGGGTGGATAATTAAAGAAGTTAGGCAGCTTGAATTCGCCTAGCTTCTGCATCTTTCCTGAACTACTTCTTTCTCTGCCTTACACCTGCTCATTCAAAAGTACTACTTGTAACAAATAAATATATAAAAGAACAAAGGAAAGAGAAAAACATCACCAAAATAAAACCCAATATTAGGGGTAGTAAAGTCTGGTTGGGTTTGATTTGGACAAAGTAAAAATGAATTAAATAGAAAAGGGGTCATAACCCAACCTGTTCAAATCTGCACGGGTTGGTTTGTGAATAATTCTGGTCCAACCAACATCTTAAGAATAAATTTATCCAAAAAAACAAGTCTGAATTCAAAAAACATATTTGTTTACTGTGGGCTATTGCACTTCCTACAAAAAGATAAGCATTTGCTTGACATTGGCAAAATGGCATCAAAACGACAAAGAAGGTTCTTTTTCCTGCATGCTAATTCAAAAGGAAGTTCAGGTAATATATCGTGATTTCAAGTCATCAAATGTGCTTATGGGTGATGACTTCAAGCCAAAAGGCATATATGGCATGTGTTTAGTACAATTCTTTCCGTCAAAAAGGGAAAACGAGTTCCTACATTTGATCCAAATCCTAATCAATCTAACACCTAGTCATTGTTATCAACCTAAACTGGACCACAGAAAGCATATATGACATGTGTTGAGTACAATGCTTTCCGCCAAAACGGTAAGATGAGTTCCTACATTTATCCCAACTTCTAATCAATCTAACACCTAATCATTGTCATCAACCTTCAATACCTGAAAGTATCACCAATACACACTCCTTGTAGTACCTTGTTGCCTTATCATACACCTTTTCTACTAACTGTATCTGTATGTCACCTAAAATACAGGCAAAAGATAAATAACAGTTTCCTCTTCCCCAATACACCTCAAGAAACAGAAAAAGAACAAAACTTCACATAAAATTAGCATCTGGGTGGCTTTAATAATGGAAAAAAAGGAAAATAAAGACAAAGAGTACATACTCAGCAAGCCAGAAACTCAGAAACCCAAACTTAACTACTGCAATAATCCAAAGGTTCTCTTTAGAGATGATGAAAGTTATAATTACACGAAATAAAATCTTTAATCAAGAAAGAGAATATAATAGAAATTACCACACGACACCACAGTCGATGCTCCAAAGTTGCAATTTCACCCACAAAAAGAGGGGCTATTTTTCGTCTTTCCTAATCTGAAGCACCAAAGTTTTCACTTGGACACAACAATCTGTAAATTAGGTTATGATGAAACTGCAGGAAGAGAATGATCTGGTTTATTTAGAGAGAGAGAGAAAATTGAGAAGCTTTGAAGAGAAAGTCACGTGCAGAAAGTTTTGCCTCGGTTGAAAAACTCACGGTGGTTAAGGATGGAGACAGAAAATGTACCAAATTTGGATTATTAATGCTCCAATAGAAAGAAATAGGACTATTTTGAGTCATAACTCAAAGATAGTGGACCATTTTAAGCCTTTTAACAAATGGGGTGTGAAAAAAAATAACAAAGAAAAGGAAAAAAATGAAAATGGAGTGCTACTTCTTCACTTGTCGTCGTCTTCAATTCGATTCAAGATTGTCAATCACAGTGGCACCACCCCACCCCCACCACGAACCCAACAAAAGTTAGTATCTTTTTCTCTATCTTTATATGTTGAGTTTAAAATATGAATGATTACTTGTCAATCTTGAAAAATCCCAACTTGAAATTGTTAAGTGGACTTGGAGCTTTCGACTTTATTTGAAAATTTGAATGGTAAAAGATTTGCCCTTTTTTCGTTTTCCCACTATTTGTCTATTTCCTGATTTGTGATCTGGCTCTATTCTTTGGTGTGGTGGATGATTTTGAGTTTAGCTTGTTGTTATATTTCTTTGAGGATTTTAGAGGAACCCATGTTGAAACATATAGTTTAAGATGCTCTATATTCAGTTTAACAAGTTATTGTAGTGAAATCAATGATCTCCCTTTTCTTTGATTATACATCATAGTAGTTGGGATTGAGGTTTTGGCTGCTGTTACATCTGGTTCTCTGTTTGTTACTCATGTGACACTGTTTGACTAGGAATTGGGTTTAAGAAAGAATGGATGACTTTTGGAACTTGTGATCTAGAACAAGCCTTAGAGGCTATAAATCAAGTCTCATTAAGGGTAAAATTTTAAGAATTATACTTAAATTGTTTCTAAATATATAAAGTAACATTCTTTTTCGGATAGTGGAAGTAGTAGTCTTTGTAGTTTGGTTAGAAATAGGTCGAAATGGAGAGGATTGATGATTTAGCTGATCCCAGGCTAGTTTGGGATCATATTTTTATTTTTGCTTAATAAGGCATATTTGTTTGTTGTTGTATTAATTGGAGGGCTTTTTGTTCTTTTATTACGCTTCATTTTGTCTCTTTATATTTTTCCCAAGAAAAACAAGTACGTTATCGGGTACTTCGCCCCTGCAGCTTATCTGTCTTGGATTGAAGTTTTCAAGCTTTACAAAGTGAGAATTATTAAATAATGGCAGTGTAAGTTTGGGATGTTAATCATTTGAATTTTCCATTTTATGATACTTTAGTAATCCAGTTACATTTGTATTAGTATGTCTGATTTTCGGCTCATTGATGGAAATAGAGTGGCCTCTGCTCCTGGAAAGGTTTTGATGACTGGTGGTTATCTTGTTCTGGAGAGGCCTAATGCTGGTATTGTACTGAGCACAAATGCTCGTTTTTATGCTATCGTGAAGCCACTTTATGACGAAATTAAACCTGAAAGTTGGGCATGGGTGAGTGATATTTGCTGCACTTAACTGAATGATCAATTAATTGGAGTAAACATGACCATTTCTCATCTTGAGAAGCACCTTTTATGTATCTCCCTACGCTTTATTCCTACTGTAAGGTAGTTTTCTTATTCCTTTTCAGGGTTGGACAGATGTTAAATTGACTTCTCCCCAGATGGCAAGAGAAACCATGTATAAACTGTCTCTTAAACAGCTAAAGCTTCAGCCTGTTTCTTCAAGGCAAGTAGTTCAAGTCTCGTTAGTGAAAATAATATTTTTCATTTTATGCTTGTGAACTTGCAAAATAGTCTCTTGTTTCTACTTTCTTTATGAGGTCCCAATGTGCATTGATGATTGAGTTTCTTTTGTAGATAACCAAATTTGGTGTAGGTTTTCTACTTTTTGGTATACGGCTTCTACAGGAGTTTACTCCATCACTAATAAAATTATTTACTTTTATCAAAAAATGTCTGTGAATTTGCTGATTTTTTTTTAAAAAAAAGTATTAAATGTAACTTGGCTACTGTATTCTTGATGAATTTGATCTGTTTTGTTATAACATGAATTATGAAGTCATCTAAATGACGAGCAGTGTAGTAACTTATATTTTTAGTCGAATATCAGTGGATCAAGAAACCCCTTTGTAGAACATGCAGTGCAGTATGCTGTTGCAGCAGCCCATGAAAGACTTGACAAAGATAAGAAGGACAGATTGCAGACACTACTTCTGCAGGGTAATGTCCGACACTCTCACCTTTCTTATCTGTGGATGATGACGTTTCTTTATACGGGACTCACCTCATAGTTTTTGTTTGTAAAGAAATTAGAAAAATAATTTCTCAAACTGCATTATCGATGCAGGTCTTGACATAACTATCTTGGGTTGCAATGAGTTCTATTCGTATCGGAATCAGGTGCTTTTGCAGCTTACTTTATATCTCTGATATGGCATGTATCTCAGTGGTAGATAATTACCTGTGAGTCCAGCTTGTTGGCATGAAGTGAAATTCGGTATTCAGTAACCACCATTCCCACAGTTGTCGACGTAATATTTTCTAATTTGTGGCAGCTGTTTCAAGATTTACAGTGGGCAGGAAAAAAATTCATGAGTCTATATAATGCCCTGTCAATTTTAAAATAAAGGTGTTGCACAATTTGTTGAATGATTTAATGGAAAAATAGTGCTGAGTTCTACCTCAATCCTAGAAGTGACCTAAGTTGGCATAATAATCAATTTGACCAATTGCTGGACTAATGTTTGACTAAACCTTTTCTAAGTTCAGAAGATAACAATGGACAAAATATATAATTCTTCTTAGAAATACTTTGAAAAAATAAAAAATTGATTATGCCACTCCAAGTTGATTTATACAGTTGATGTTCAAATCTTAAGCTTAAGATAAAAAGTAGAACTAGAGTAGACTACTTGAACAGAAGTCACAACTGCAGAAGTTGTTAAACGGAGTGACTAGTCATGCACCAAATGAGCACATCATTTGTAAGATTTACTTCACTCATGGAAACAAATTTCTGCTTAGTAGATTTATTAAGGAAGTTACGGTACTTTATATAGAATATAAAAACAATTCTACTAGGATTTGTATAGTATATCAAAACAAAATTGACTCAAGCTTCAGTCATCCTGATCATCTTATTGCTAAGACTTATATATCTTGATCACATTGCGCTGGACTATAGGGACAAGAAATTGCAATGACATTGATACGGGGATTTTGTATGGTTGGAAATGGTCAACTCGGATTAATCCTTTGTAATAATCATTGACTGAAATATTTAACTTTCTATCAGATTACATTGTGTAACAAATGCATAAGCTAAGATGTCGAAGATGTTATGCGACAAACTAGTTTGCCTTTATTCTCTAGTTTGATAGTAATTGAGACCTCTCTGTTACTTATTTATGTAGATTGAAGCACATGGGCTCCCTCTTACACCTGAGTCATTGGCTTCCCTTCCGCCTTTTGCTTCGATCACTTTCAATGCAGAAGAATCAACTGGAGAAACTCGCAAGCCTGAAGTTGCAAAGACTGGATTAGGGTCATCAGCAGCTATGACAACTGCAGTTGTTGCCGCCTTGCTTCATTATCTTGGTGTTGTGAACCTCTCCTCTTTGGATGAGGACCAACTCCAAGGAAAGAAAGATGTAGCTGATCTTAATGTAGTTCATGTGATAGCTCAAACTGCTCATTGCATTGCACAGGGTAAAGTTGGCAGTGGGTTTGATGTTAGTTCTGCAGTTTATGGAAGTCAACGCTATATCCGCTTTTCGCCTGAAGTGCTCTCTTCTGCGCAGGTCTTCTTCATATTCCATCTATCTGATTAATTTGTTGACATAGTTTTGATCATAGATAAAGTATTCTGTTAAGTTTTCTCAGAGGCTCGGTTACGGGAAAATAGCCCGAACGGCTTCAGCATATATATTTTATCATCATATCATATATTATTATAAGTGAGAAGCTCCAAAGTGAAAAGTTGAATTACCATTTTCCCCCTCTACTAAATTAAAACTTTTATAATTTTCATATATATATATATATATATATATAATCTTCTTATTCTCATTTCAAAATCTTGACCTTTCAAATTTCTCACACAAATTTTAAAAAAATACAAATGAGTAATTATTCCTTAAAGACAAGAAATTAAAGTAGATGCATGTATCTTTTAAAGTTAAATTTCATCTCTATCTTTTTTATATTTATTTTAATAGTATTTGACCTTTTAATTTTCCATGTGTCTTTTCATGTTTCCATAATTTTGTCGTATAAATTTAACTTTTCTAAGAAAAACTTTAATTTACTATTCCTACAATTCTTGTGTGTAGGAACTCTAAAATTTATTTCACTCATTAAATTTTTTTTCTTTCATCTTCCAACTTCTTTTTACATTTTCATTCATATTTTAATATATAAAATTTCTATGTTTTATTGGTTGTACATAGTTTAATCTTCTCAATAATATTTATTCTTATTAATTTAACATTCGTTAAATACTCTATAAAGTGTATCATAAGGTGGGTTTGTCCAATTATTTCATTTGCCTTCTTTGGTTATATATCTCCTCTAAAAAGAGTCTTACTTCAGATAAATCTATTCCAATATAATTGATTTAGCTACAAATATTGACCAACACTTTTTTGTATTATTGCTAAGCTAGCGGCATATTCACTTCTTTTAGTATAATATCTATTTATGAAAAGCTTCTGTTGCAATAAAATTCAAATTCAGATACAAGTTGATCTGTGAATGCCTTTGCATATTTGAACTTTGAAATGTGGACATGGACTATGCTTGGAGCACACAAGTTCATAGTTGACTGTGTGTTCGTGTAGTTTAAAATGGTATGAGATACACGTGCGTTGCACGTGTTCGAGAACTAGTAATTTAATATACCAAAGGCTTACTTTCTGATGCTCATTAATAATCCATGTTTAAATTACATAGCTTTTGTCCTAAGATAACAAAGTTAATGTGCTCTTTCTAAATTGAGATAACTTCATACAAACATGATGAATATTTTGCATCATTCAAACCCCTGTGAATTACATAGCTTTGACTAAGAGTAATATACTC